AGAGAGGAGAGAGAGACAGAGGAGAGAGGGAGAGGAGAGAGAGAGGAGAGAGAGGGGAGAGAGAGAGAGAGAGAGAGAGAGGAGGGAGAGAGAGAAGAGAGAGAGGAGAGAGAGAAAGAGAGAGGAGAGAGAGAGAGAGGAGAGAGAGGAGAGAAAGAAAGAGGAGAGAGAGAGAGAGGAGAGAGAGGAGAGAGGAGAGAGAGGAAAGAGAGAGAGAGGAGAGAGAGAGAGAGGAGAGAGAGAGAGAGAGAGCAGAGAGCGAGAGCGAGCGAGAGAGAGCTTTTATCTTACAACAGATATATATATATACTTGAGGGCGGCACAGAAGGTGGGGGGGCGGGGGTGGTCTGATATTCTAATGTCTTAAAGGCCAATGGGGTTGAGGGGAGGGATCCATCGTCATCTCTCAGGCGCCAGAACTTGCTGAGCGGGAAGGGAAGGAGAGTGGGGGAAGGGATTCAGGTGTGCTGCATTCTCAACCGGAATGTTTACCCTAAGTTCCGATCAAGTGTGGTTTTGTGCATAGGAGGCAAAGTCCTGGTCTCGGTCCCGGACACTCACCATGTGGATTATTAGCTCTCTGGCCAGGGATTTAACTTACGATGCAGTGGCTGGGTAGCTTGAAATTACTGTCTTTGATGCCTGGGCCACCAGGGAGGCCCCTGCTGTAATACTAGAATTAAATGTTGGACATACACAGCTCTGCTGATTTTCTTGAGAGCTATTGTGTCTTGCATATTTAAGTTCCTAGAAAATAACTACTTGGGAGATAAAAATTGGGATAACTGTTGTAACCCATGATTATAAAACTTACTGCTAGAAGTTTCAGAATCATTTATCAAAAACTACTTTTATTAAAGACAAAAGAAAATTATAGACTATTACTAGAAAGTCCTAAAATCCATTAGCTGCTGCTTTCTGATACATTAGGTGCAGAGCAGCCCATGGATTTTTAAACATATATTGCCCTTAAGGAGTAACCAGATCCCTGTCTATGGAGCACTTTGCCCACATAGGGATACCTTGTAGAACCGCTTTCTTTATAACAAGACTTTGGAGGTTGATGAGTTGCCCTTGGTGAAGCTATCATTAGATGTTTGCTTCTCTGTAGCCCTTCCCCTACAACTTCTCCAGTGTGGTTTTAATATTTTTTATAAGACAGGAGCCCATACCCATGCTTCTTCTCAAGTTATTTATAAGTCATAGATTCTGAAAATACAGTAACAATATTTTCATCACAGCTATTCAATCTAATAAATTTCTTTATTTACTTGTAGGACCTGGAAGAACTGAATTATGAAAAGGCATCAGACAATATCATTATGAGACTGATGGCATTATCATTCCAGTACAGTTGTTGTTGGGTAGTTTTATATACCAAAGAAATATTAAACTCGGAGTAAGTAAACAGGTTTTCATCCAAAGTCATGCTCTATGTTACTCATTTCCCCTTTTGGAGCAAAAATATGTGTGTAAATGTTACATTTGTTTATATAGTTTGCGTTAAGTCAGGGTTCTTAAGGCAGATGCATGTCCACAGGAAAACAAATAAAAACAAACAAAAAATATCTTCCCCAGATATCCCATGTAAGTCATCCTCCCCTCTTCTATCTCACTAAGAATTGTTGCTTTTAGTATTCAGCTTTTATTATATTTTATATACATTTTATATCGTTCTGGACTTACCTGCTGAACAATGTCATTCTTAAATCACTTACCTCTAAAATATTATTAAAATTCATGTGCAAGTATGAATTCATGTTCAAGTATGAATCTTCTTTATGCCCTTCAAAATTGTATCTCTTCTTTTCTACCCTTTAGCTATTTATACTATTGCCTTTCTTATACTTACCAACTAAGTAGCAACTTGCTATATATTTGATGTGCTGATAAATTACAAAAATATTCCAAGTTATATACCAAGATGCTAGCTCAAATTATCATTTTATGTCTCTGCTTTCCCTTATCTCAATTTTGTGAAGCAACTACTTCCATCACTTTCTCCTTTTATTCTCTGTAATCTGCCTTTTCTCAAGGCTATATATATATATATATACATATATATATATATACACACACAGAGAGAGAGAGAGCTTTCTCTCTATTTATATATCTCAAAGATCACTTGTCACTTAAGACTTTCTTATGATCATCTCCAGAAATATTTCTCTTTAACTGTTCTGAAGTATTATCAATGTTTACTTTCTTGAAACTCTTAAATTCATGAAACTTCAGTGTTTTTGATATGCTACCTCTATAACTACTGTCTTTCCCTCTTCTTCCTTCCCAGTTTCAAATTTATCTGATTTTCCTTCTCCTATTCTATCGATTGGAAATCTTATCCACTCCCACTAATCTTTCTACATATATTTATATCTGCTACTGAAGTTTCTCTTAAATTCCTGACTTGTATCTAATTTCCTATTAAATATTTCCACTGTCATATCCCACAGTCTCTCAATCTTAATATGCTCAAGTATGAATTCATGTTCAAGTATGAATCTTTATGCCCTCCAAAATTGTATCACTTCTTTTCTACCCTTTAGCTATTTATACTATCGCCTTCCTTATATTTACCAAGACCGAAAAACAAATACTATAATTTTGCCAGTGGAAGTTTCTTCTGTAACATCTAAATTCAGACTCTCTTTATTTCATGTGGACAATTTTAACAGAGTGCCAACAGCTTCCCACATCCAGATGGCTCAAAATGTCATGCTTCACAATCTCTGTACATTTAATTCATATTCCAAAAACAAGGCTCTAGTTATTCACTCTAATAAAAAGCCACCACTGACTTTCCTACTATCTGATAACATATCTTATGTATCACACACCTGATATTCAGAGTATTCAGAGTATAATCCCAACCTCTATATTTTCAGGCTTAGTTTTAAGTGTTTGCCATTTCAACCAAACGGTCTACTCATTGCTTGCAAAGATGATTCTTGTTTTTCCACTCCCACTTTTGCTCATATGTTCTCTTCCTACAGTATGCTCTACTGCCTACAACTTTTCCATCTGGAGAAATCCCACCTATCTTTTAGAAATATCATTTTTCAAATTAAATCTTTCTTCAGTTCCCCACTCAGGGATACAAGGTATTCAGTTGTGACCTTCCTACCTTTTGAATGCCCTAGTTATCTATTTTTTTCATCTTTGATATTTATCACATTTTGTGCTATATTACCATTTTAGAATACTTGTCTTATAGCACTTAACATACAGATACTTGGTAAATGTTCCTTGATTGAATAAATCTACCTACTAATTGCATATTAACCTTAGTCATTTTTTTACAATCTCTATAATACCACATAACATATACTATATAATTAATAGAAGTTTTAAAAAACATATTTTAGGTATTAGAGAAGGAACAGACATCTTATTTGATATTACTTTGTTTTTTATTGACTTTCTTATTTTACTCCATTTTTGCTTACCTGCTGTATCATGCTCTTGTATGGTCACATTGTGCTAAGAGTACATTAGAATGTAAAACTCTAAAAGACTGATTATTTCTTGTAGTAATAATGTCTAGCAGAGTTGCCTAACATAGTTTTTCCTTTCTACCAGAACTTAATAATTCAGATCTAATAGCCTATTTTGAAGATTAATAAAAGATCTGGGCCCTCCCTGGTGGCGTAGCGGGTTAAAGCACAGCACTGAGAATCTAAAGCCGCTTCCGCATGAGTTCAATTCCGGCCTGCCCCGGAGGTGACCACATGGTGTGGCGGACCTCTCCTGACCCGCCCGCTGCTCCCCTCAGCAGTGTACTTCCTCAGTCTGCTTGTCTTGCTCCCCACTCTGTCTCTGGTGAAGCCTCTCACAGACCCTGCACCTCTGGCCTGTACCCCAGTTCTGTATGCACAAATAAATAAATCTTTAAAAAAAAAAAAAAAAAGATCTGAACTACTTAAGGTTGGGACTTGCTTGTAAAACATTTTAAGCTTTATCAAGAATTTGGAAATATTCTTTATTTTAAAAGATTATTTATGCATACAGAACTGGAGTACAGGCCAGAGGTGCAGGGGCAATGAGAGGATTCATCAGAAACAGAGTGGGGAGCAGAACAAGCAGATAGTGAAGTGCACTGCTGAGGAGAGCAGTGGGTACAGCTAGTTGCAGTGCTGCATCCTAACCATTGCGTCACCAGGGAGGACCCTACCATAATATCTTTAAGTTCATTTAAGTTGTGACATGTATGCATATTTCACTCTTTTTTATAACTGAGGAATAATATATCATATGATACATTTTGTTCACCCGTTCTTCCCTTAAGGGGCAGTTGGGTTGTTTCCACTTTTTTTAAAATTATATATATATATATATATATATATATATATTTTCACATTATTCTTCACTTTGTACATTTTTTCATCTCAGTTGTAATCTCCATGGGCTTCCCACCACCAATTCACCTGTGTGTCATCACCACAGTCCGGTGCATTCTTTCCACCCCAGTTCCAATCCTATTCCCCCTTCTACCCCCATAAAACGTCTCTGGTTTATAGTTGTTCATTGTTTTCATTTTTACTCTATTACTTTTGTTTGTCTCTTCTCCCATCCCCACCCCCACCTCCAGTCCCTTACACTCCTGCTATGAGTGAAACCATCTGGTATTTTTCTTTTTCTTTCTGGCTTATTTCACTAGGCTTATTTCACTAAGCTTGATACCTTCCAGCTCCATCCATGTTGCTGTAAAAGGTATCAGTTTATCTTTTGATTGCTGAGTAATATTCCATTGTATATATGTACCACATCTTTTAAATCTAGTCTTTGATTTATAGGCATTTGGGTTGATTCCATCTTTCCTATTGTAAATAGAGCAGCAATTAACATGGGAGTGCAGGTATCCTTTTGAATCAATGTTTTTTTGTCCTTTGGGCATAGACCTAGGAGTGGGATTGCTGGGTCAAATGGAAGCACTGTTTTTAGCCTTTTGAGAAATCTCCAAGCAGCTTTCCATTGTGGTTGTATCAGCTTGCATTCCCACAGCAGTGTAGGAGAGTTCCTTTTTCTCCACATCCTCACTAACATTTGTTGTTACTTGTTATTTTAATATGTTTAATTTGGAAATATTCTGGATAAATAACTGATTTGAAAATGTTTTGAAGTTTTTAAACAGCTACCCACCCAGAATTCTTGTGTTACTATTGAAGTACAAGGGATCCTAAGAGAAGACTCAACTTATTTTTACCCATATTTTCATGAAAAGAAAGGAATTATGTAATACTCTGAGATTTATGTTTAGAATTTCAGTGGTTATTGTTCACAGTAATATGTTATAATAACTGATATTTTCAGATGTCTAGGTATTTCAGTTCTATATTTTTAGATGATTAAAATATTTAGAAAGTACCTTAATCAACTGACAAAATGAGAACAATCAAAATACAAAGTAAATTGTTTGAATTGCCTTATAGTTCATGCCCATAGTTCCTTGTTGGTGGTCCCAAAACCACCCTCAGGGTCACTAATCTGCTAGGAGGAGTCACAGGACTCTGTATATATTTGTGCTCTCAAGGCTATGATGCATTAATAATGAAAGATTGCAAAGCAAAATCAGCACAAAGGGAAAAAGCACATGGAACAAAGTCTGGAGAAAACTTCTATGAGACTTCTCCCAGTAGAGAAGAGAATATGCTCAGTTTCCGCAGCAATATAAAATGTTGTCTTCCAGGGATACTCAGAGACTCAGTGCTTAGGACTTTTATTAAGGGCTGGTCATCTAGGTCCCCTCTGTTTAGCACTCACCGATTTCTAGATTCCAAGGCAAAAAGCAAGTGCAAACAGTTTAGGCACAATGAGCTGCTCTTATCAGCCAGTCTTAGGGAAAGAACTTGCCTGAGAGGTCCTTACCTGAGAGGTAGCATAGCGGTTAATATCTCAGTGCTGTCAAGCTATCTCCAGCCACTGTGGCGTGATTTTAACCCCCTGGCTACAGAGCTGACCTAACATGGTACAGCAACCTCTCCTATCTCACCTGCTGCTCCCCTCAGAGGTGTATTTCAGTAAATCTGCCTGTTCTGCTCCCTACTTTGTCTCTGGCAAATTCTCTTACCACCCCCCTCCATACCTCTAACCTATGCCCCTTTTTCATGTATGCATAAATAAATAAAAGAGCCACTGGCCCAGTCTCATTTTTTTGAGTCCCTGGATCCAACAATGCCTTTCCCTGGACTTCATTGTAACTGAGCCAATAAATTCCCTTTTTTTGTTGCTTGCAGTGCTTCAAGTGGGTAATGCTAATAAAAATTTCTACCCAAAACTCAAGGTTCACATCTGACCTGCTTAATAACAACAGAAAGGGAGGAATTGGGATATTTTTGTAAGAGTTCAGAATAAAGATCTAAAGAGGATTCAACTTACTGTGTTTCTGGTTGTGTGTTTGAATCTGAACGTGGTTTTTGGCTAGTGAATGGAGTCTTTTAGTTGGCAAGCCTTGAGTCTTACACTCATGCTTGGGATGAGCTTGACCTCTCCCCTGCTCTGCACATATTCTCAGCGTCCCCTAGTTTTAACCATATTGTTAATGAATGGAAGTAGAAGCATTTTTTTCCCCATAAGACTAATGAATGAATTAAAAGCCTTGAGTCTGACATAGTAGTCTCATCCTTATTCCAGTCACATATGATTGATGGAAAATAAAGTGATTTTTAATAAGCATAATCACAAGTCAAATGAGTAGAGGTATAGTGACACAATTCTTTTTAGTTACTGTTTTACAGAAAAGACACTTCATCACCTCGCGCTGATTTATGCAGCTTTGGTTTCATCTAGCCTAAAATCACAGGAACTGGATGTAAAGGTATTCTGTCCCTGTATATTTGTTTATATGTTGCATGTTACCAAAATTAAACCCCAGTGAAAAGAAATATTAAATGTATAGACTAAGGATTTCTTAAAAGCCAAATAAAGAAGTTTTCAGGTTAATATTTTTCCTTGTAAGCTTATGTTCTAAAAGTCTTTAGTGAATTTTAAAGCCATATTTTACCTCTTAATGATTACTTAGATATTTTTGAAATCAGAAAAAATGTGAATAAAAGTAAATATCCCTTGATCAAAAATGCTCTTTGCAAGATATATTACATTTTTATCTGTTGGAAAAGGATATCTTATGACTTGAAAAGAGTAATATCTTGGGAATCTCTAATCTGACTCTATACTTGGTCCTTTTAAAAAATATCTTATTCTGAAATTCAGACATTTCTCCAAATTCAGAGATAATACTTTTCTGTTAATACTTCATATTCTTTCTTGATAAATTCAAACATTCCCAAAATTTAGCTTTCATTCCTGAGTATAATCCTTAACATTTTCCTTAATTTTTCTTAAAAGTGTACCTATAGTCTTAACAGTCTACTGGAAACCTCTGCTTGGGTGTTCCACAAATGCTTCAAATCATTCATGTCTAAAACACAATTTTTCATCCTCCCCCAATTTAATTTATGACCATTATTCAAATTCAAACAATAGTTAAATCCTATTAAAAAAAAACTCTACAGTGTTTTTTGAATGTCTCTCCTTTCATTGCTACTACTGTTTCCCTAAATCCAACCCTTTATCACCTCTTGGAGTTTTTAAAGTCATTTACTAATGAATCTCCTTATTTCTTCTATTTCCACTCCAGTATATCATATATTTTGACACCAAGTACATTTCTAAAACTGGCTGTGAATATTTCAGTCCATAGACTATAAAACATTTTTCCTAAAGAAAAGAGAACATACTTCATTTTTATATTCCTTGTATCCAGTATAATGTCAGGTACATAGTAGACTCTTGAAAAATATTTGTATTGAGTTTAATTTTCTTGCTCTACTGTAAGACCTACCGTAATTTCCTGTTTCATTCAAAATACAACCAAAACTCAGTACCATTCAAACTCTTCCACAATTAGTCCCCCAGTAAACCTTCCTTTAACAACATTCTACTCATCATCCCTGAATATGCCTTCTGTACAAGTCACCTCCCTGACATTGCACAAATATGTCATTCTGATCTAGTTTGCTTCAAGAATTCTACTCCATATCTAACACTTTCAGTCAAGGTTTGGTCTTTCAGTACCTCCTTTAAGAAATTTGCCCCAATTGTGCATTGTTTGAATAACTTCTTTCACTTCTCCCAATGATTCTTTATGCCATTATTATAATATGAGGTATTTATTCATATAGCCTTAACCCTGGAAGATGATAAATAGGCATTTTACATTGCAAAATGTATAGTATATAACACAGTACTTTTGTACACAATAAAAAGTATACAATAAACTTGCATTACATAGAATTAAGTCAAACCACAGCCTGTTAAAATCAATAAATGATGTATTTGAAATAAAATCCAGATAATTTTGATCCTTTGATGCCTCTGAAGCATTGATATAAAATTCTTTAGAGTCATGTGAGTAAATAAGTGCAAGTGTAAATTTGTCTCATCCTTTCCAGTGAGGTTTCACCATTTAGCTTATTTTCTTCTCAGCTAATAGTGAGCTATCAGATACAAAATATAAAGTAGTGAATCATTGTATTCCCAGATATCCCAGGTATCTGATACCTGTGAGTGATACTGTAATCAGGTACTGTAACATAGCCCTTTGGGGACTTATTCCAAGGAAAGCATTTGAAGGTGAGATGGGCAGAATTACCCAAAGCACAATTCCTTCCACACAAATGTCTGTCTCCACTTGGATTAAGCTATTTAAAAAATGTTTCACGGGCCCTCCCTGGTGGTGCAGCGGGTTAAAGCACAGCACTGAGATGCTAAAGCCACTTCCGCATGAGTTCGATTCCTGCCTGCCCCGGAGGTGACCACATGGCATGGCAGACCTCTCCTGACCCGCCCGCTGCTCCCCTCAGCAGTGTACTTCATCGATCTGCCTGTTCTTCTCCCCACTCTGTCTCTGGTGAAGCCTCTCGCGGCCCCTGAGCCTCTGGCCTGTACCCCAGTTCTGTATGCACAAATAAATCTTAAAAGGAAAAAAAACTCTTAAAAAATGTTTCACAAATTTTACATAATAATCTAAAAAGTATGTCAATGTTCCCATGGAATTTGAGAAGCAGCTATGATAAATTTGCTCAGGTTCTATTATCAGTATGTCACCAATACTCAAGGCTCCCATTCTCCTGACATGAAGCATTATTATAATAATGGGGAGTCCCTAAACTCATATTATTTTGCAATGTATTGTGGCTTTACCTTACTGTATTCAGTAATGTGACATTTGGCCTTTAGAATGCATGGTGATAGATTACTTTTTATTTTTAGATATGTGAAAAGCATAGCCATAAAGGAAACTTTTGAGAGCTTAAGTATGTTTTCTTAAGTTAAAAGAAAATACTGCTAGTAGTATTATGCTGTATTTTATTCTAATTTCAAGAAATTTTTTTCAAAAAATATGTTCTGTAAATTTATTTTGAACTCTCTTGAAGAAAAATATATAGATATATACATGTGTAAAATTTTAGAATGTTAGGGGATTCCTGAATCTCCCAAATTGTAGCCATGAGCTCTGGAATCCTTGCCCTAGCAAATTAAGGTCATATTCATTACCCCATCATAAATTATGCCTTTTAAAACAAAATTTAATAAAAAGGATATTTATTATATCCTTTATAGTGTCCGATGTTCTCAGAACATCCACCCTTAGCAATAAAATAAATTTAGACTCAAACAATGTATTTGTGTGGACTCTACATGTTTACTATAATATAAAAGAAATCCTTCTTTGGAATTCTTGGACGCCCTTTGGAATTCATGGGCGCCCCAGGTATGTACTAATAGTTTTCTGTTTGTTGTTATTGCGAAATGAAAAAAATTGTCATAATTATTTTATGAGGTTTGTATAGGCTTGTTCTTAAATTTTCACTCCAGGACAGGATATTTACAGTTCTGAGGTAGGATTGTATGGGGCAGTATTTCTCTGTATACTTTAAACTACTGGTCTATAAACTATCTTTCCTTCAACCAAATTGAGACGATAAAACAGAAGATAAAGATAGCAGTAAAGGGAAGGAAAAGGTTGGCATTTCAAAAGAAAGGAGGCATAGAGGAAAACACAAGTGAAAGATGGAAGTAGGAGATAAGAAGAAATTATATGTTAGCATTAAGTTTAATACACATGCAGAATACATTCTTGGCAGGGTGTCTTAGTATCAAATAAGCCAAGATGAGTAACAATTCTAGAAATACTGGAGATGGCTACTCTAAATCAATCCGTGTTTTTTCTTCTTGAGCACAGCATCAAATTCAACTGTAAATATCCTTTTTACTTTAATTTGCACTGTAATTTTTTTTAAAAGATTTATTTATTTATTCGTACAGAACTGGGGTACAGGCCAGAGATGCGGAGGGTGAGAGGATTCACCAGAGACTGAGGGGAAGCAGAACAGGCAGATCGATGAAGTACACTGCTGAGGGGAGCAGCGGGCCGGTCAGGAGAGGTCTGCCACGCCATGCGGTCACCTCCAGGGCAGGCGGGGTTCGAACTCATGCGGAAGTGGCTTTAGTTTCTCAGTGCAGTGCTTTAACCTGCTGCGCCACCTGGGAGGAACTGCACTGTAATTTTAATTCTTATTTTTAATTAGCACTATTAGATTCAACCTAGTAAAAGCAAAATATTAACTATTGCTAGTGATATTGAAATTACTTTTCTTCTTATAGATAAAACAAGTATTTTTTAAAAGGCAATTAATAAATGCCAAATAGAAGAAAAACAGTTTGGTTACAAAAATTGGAAGCTATAAGGATATCACATTTAAACAAGGAGAGAAAATTGCTTATCCCCACAATTAAAATGCCCTGGGTTTCACATAGATAAGTTATTTCTAAAAATACTGTTAAAATATTATAGCTTCATATGCAACTTGTATAACAGAAAATCTTATTGTAAGCAATTAGAAACTAGAGGAGGCAAATTGCAAAAATCTGCTCTTCTAATTATAATTTTTGAATATCACATTTCTAATATTTCCTGTGTTCTAACATGAAAAATTTTTTTTTAGCTTATACTTTCCCCAGGAGTGGAAGAGACTGCCTTGATAATACGACAGATTGCTGATCACAACTTAATGACCTCGAAGAGAGATCCTAATGAATGGTTGGATAAATCCTGGCTTGAAGTTTCACCAACAAAGGTTTATTTTCTAAATATGTAAAATGTATATTTGTACTGCAAATGTATGTGCTTGAATTCTCTTTCTGGTAGCATATATTTGTTCTAAAATGCTTGCATAAGCAATTAGAACAACCATAATGCACATTTACTTAGATCATTTTCCATTCATTTGTATTTTCCAGTTTCACAAAACTTTTAATGGACTCTTTACAATGAACTTTCAAATCTAACTTGCTGTAGACTGATCTAATGATTTTCAGTCCCAAATATTTGTAAAACACTATTTTTCTAATATCTATATTTAAACACTTAAGAATAGTAAGCATTCGAAGAGAGTAGTAAAATTCTATCATTCCTTGTTTTATTGGTAATTCCAATAAAACAATTATGTAATTGAAACCAAAAATAGAGCTGTGAGATACTTATAAAACCAAATAGTTAAATGTTAGAAATTCCTCCTGTTGAAGCATAAATATCTCCCAAGTTGCCATATCAGCCCAATGTTTATTTTACAATAACAGAATTTTATTGATAAAATTTTATTTACTAGGTAACAGAATATTATTGTTTCTGCTTATTTTAAAATACATTCATATCATGAAACCATAAAAAAGGAATGATGAATTTCTTTTATATACTAACTTGAAATAATTTTTAAGAAATAGTGAAAAATGAAAGTATAGTACAGAGTATGCAGGACATTACCAGTATGTAAAACAAGAGGAAATCAGCATTTATATGTTTTTGTTTGTAAATGAACAACATATTTCTGGAAGATAAGGACAGTGAGTAATGGGCTGCTTGTCTGTTTACCTTCTAAGTACCTATTGAATTTTGATGCATATGACTGTCTTACATATTCAAAAATATTATAAGAAATCAAATATTCATATATTAAATCACAGAACTCTTATATACTTAAACAGAACATAGTGCAATCAGCAAATATGGCTATAATTAACTGTCAGGGGTGTGTGTGTGTGTACAATTTCCTTCTTTCTAAGGCATGACAATCAACTGACAAGTTAGTCATTAAAGTCAGAGTACAGAAAGCTTTGTAACCAAGAAAAAAAGGAAGTATGTTTCTGGAGTTCCTATGGAGGAACCTGAAAATACACATTTTTAAACTGTCAAGAACAGTTCTAGTTCATAGAAGTTCTTCCTGAACTCTTAATAATAATAAGACTTTCCTGATATTATAACATCTTTTACATATAAGAATCATTCATCTTCATTAAACAGTGAATGTGGTCTGTAGAGCTCTGGAGAGCTAAAGAAATCTTAAGGTATATAACTAAGCCCCCGAAAGCTCTATCATTAGAAAATCTATTAGTTGAAAACAACTGTCTTTTATAGGAGATGAACTGTAATACATAATGTTTGGAGGAATGATTAGACTGAATGAATTTTTAAGATACTTCCCAATGTGAGAATCTTGACTGCCAACAAAGTTTCTTTAGTCCTGGCCATACTTTTTTTTCTTGAGGTATTTTAAATAAAATTTTAGTCTTTGGAGTGAGTAAAATAAAATGGGTCATTTACTGATTATTCCTTAATATGTTTTCTAGGAAGAAATGTACTTGCTTGATTTTCCATGTATTAACCCATTAGTAGCTCAACTCATGTTAAATAAAGGACCCTCACTGCACTGGATTTTATGTGCAAGTCTTTTTCAACTTGAGGAGCTCCTGCCTGAAGTGCCAGAAAAAGTACTAAAGGTTAGTTATTTCAGTTTCATATTTTTATATGAGTATTTGTGTTTCCTAAGAATGAAGCTATCCAAGTTTAATTGTTTTGGCTTTCACATAGCAAATAAATTATTTACTTGAGCTAAATTTCATATATAATTTCATTATACACTTGAATATATACTGCATGTTATACATGAGTAAATGTATAATTATACATTTTAAAGCTATCAAGTATAAAGCTATACCTCAGTATAGCCAGTTTATCACATGTAAATTGTTTTTGAAATGTTATTGTGCCCACAGATATTCGATTTCCACTCTCTTTTTGTGTTTAACATCATCTCTTGCAAATAATCCTGACAAACTTTGTCATAGTATAGTTAAAGAGAATTTAGCCTTACTAGTAATATCTTGAAATTTTTATCAAGCAAACAAAATATACAAGTTGTGTAGCAGAAAATCTTGTTATAAGCAACTAGAAAATAGATGTAAATTACAGTGATTTTTTAGCAGAATGCAATTGCAATATGCTCTTGGTACATGAATCATTACAATACCTATGAATAGATTACTTATTTATATATTTTTCATCTTTTCATACAAATAGGCATCATTTTTATTTATGCTTACTTGACTGATTATGTGTATTATATTTGTAATATAATTGTTATATATAACAGTTATATATAAGGTAATGTAAGGTAAAACATAAGGTAATAATTGTTTTTAATTTTTTAGCATTTTTATGACATTACATCCCTATTCAAGATTAGCTCTTCTCCTGAAACAAAATCACCTCAAGATTTATCACCTGAACGGAATAGGCATCAAACTACTACATGGACTTCTCAAAGTTTAACTTCTGGAGCTTCAGATATTATTCAGGAACATAACAAATATTACCAATATTCAGACTTAAGAGAGACAGTGCAGGAAAACACAAACACCACTTCAACTTGTAACTTGCCTCTTATGGAGCCAAGAGAAATGCAATACATTTTACCACCTGTGACTTCTTACCAACAGACCAGCTACTGGAAAGACTCTAGTTATAACTCTAACATAATACAAAATAATCCTTTTCTGATTAATACAGAATCTAGAGATGTGACAGGTAACTCCTTTTTAAACCAGAATGATTCTGTGTCTGATGTCTTTTCTTTAGATCTAACACAAATGAATCCTGAAACCTTAATATTACCAGTTGACACTCAGAAGAGAGTTGTCAATAATTTTATAAATTATCAGAGAAGAGGAATACACAAAACAAAAGTACCATTAAATAATGAAGTATCTGCCCCTGTCTATTCACTAGACAGCTCTAAATCTCTTCCCTGGAACTATAAGGAAAATGTATGGAAACAACAGGATTACTCATTCAACTCAAAGTGTGGTATAGAACCAACTACACGTGAAGCATGGTACTCTCAGAGAGACAATTTATTCACTAGTCAGCAACACTCTGCATTAAATGAATTGGAAGGCTTCTTACATGAAAGGTCAAATGCTGGGAGTAAGATGACTTTTGGGAGAGAACTACCATCTGTCCCTCCTGTGGATTTATTTTGTGCTTCTGATTCTGATGTAAATGAAAAAGAATTCAACAGCCATTATTTCTACCAAAGAGCTGGAAAATGTTCAGGACAGAAAAGGCACTCTGAATCTCTATCTAACACCGGAGACAAGAAATCATTAACAGGTAATACTATCTAAAAGTTGGTAGAACTACTCCTAACTGTAAACTAAAGCAATAGAACCACCTCAAAACTAAATATTTTTTTTAAGTATTACATTTTAAAAATCTTCAATAACTTTTGGATTAAGGAGAAAATCAAAATTTTACTTTTACAGATTTATAAGAAAGTAAATACAAAGAAAGTGTATCAGTTTCTTAGCTTTAGATGAACTGAGCATTCAACTTAAGAGGCTAGAAATAAAAACACAGAAAACACTAAGTGAAAGACTAAAAGTAACAAGGATAGCAATCAGTGAATTAGAAAATTACTCTTTTTGTCAAGCAGGAATATTTTATAGACTAACTTTTTTTTTTAAGATTTATTTATTCATACAGAACTGGGGTACAGGCCAGAGGCTCGGGGTGGTGAGAGACTTCACCAGAGACAGACTGGGGAACAGAATAGGCAGATCAACGAAGTACACTGCTGAGGGGAGCAGCGGACTGGTCAGGAGAGGTCTGCCATGCCATGTGGTCACCTCCGGGGCAGGCGGGGATCAAACTCATGCGGAAGTGTCTTTAGCTTCTCAGTGCTGTGCTTTAACCCGCTGTACCACCAGGGAGGGCCTAGACTAATATTTTTTAAGAGCTTATATGCCAGGCACCACTGTAAGCCTGTTATTATTTTGTTTAAATCTAACAATCCTACTAGGTGAGATTAGTTCTATTTATTTTTTTACTGTAGTTTACAATTGATGTTTCTGAACATATAATTGTATCGATTTTTTTAAAAGGAAAATGTTACTCTTCTAATTTCTGATAATTATACTTTTTCTTTCTTGTTGCATTGTCTTGAACATTTAAGCCAAAATTCTTTTTTTTTTATTTTACAAAAGTTTATTTTTACATCATTTTGTACATTTTAAGCCAAAATTCTTAATTAAGTTTTCATGACCATACAAACATGGCTGTTAGCGGGCAGACTGAGGGGTACCCCTGCACCCCTAAAACTTGCACACTCTAAAAGGGTTCTGCCATCTGCTGCATAAATATAAAACATGTTTTTAGGTATTTATTTTGAATTTTTTTTTATTTATACAAGAACTGGCATACAGGCCAGCAGTGTGGGCAGGGAAGTGAGAGGATTCATCAGAGACAGAGTGGGGAGCAAAACAGGCAGAGCTGCTGAAGCACACTGCAGAAGGGAGCAGTGGGCAGGAGTGGTGCAGGAGAGGTCTGCTGTGTCATATGGGTCACCTCCCTGGCTAGGGATCGAACTTGTGCTGAAATGGCTGTAGCTAGCTTCCTAGTGCTGTACTTTAAACCAGTTGTGCCACCAGGGAGGGCCCCTCTTAGGTTTTTTAATAGAATGATTATGCACAGAGAGGGAAGAAGAGAAAAAGGATATAGTTTCCCAATGAAACATCCCTGTGAGTAAATACACAGCCAGACAGGGTTGGCCCAAAATGGGACCACCGAGGCCCTAAAGCTTGTCACAAACTTAGAGCACCTTCTGGAGGGAAATCACAGGAAAGGGGCAAAGGGGCCAGGCAAGTCTAGGAGGAAAGGGGCAAAAATTAAATTAGATATCAAGATAAAGGCTGCCATTTGTTAGTCTTCCCACATCTCTCATTCTTATGTCTCATGTGTCTCTGTGTCTCCTTAAGTCTCTTCCATGTTCCCAAGGTCCCTGGTGACTGTCCCAATGAAAAGCAAGTGTGGGCCCTCCCTGGTCGTGCAACAGGTTAAAGCGCAGCACTAAGAAGTTAGCCACAGCAGCTTTGGCACAAGTTTTATCCCAGAACTGACCCACATGGTACAGCAGACCTCTCCTGTCTTACCCACTGCTCCCCTCAGCAGTGTGCTTCATCAATTTGCCTGTTCGGTCCCGGCTCTGCCTCTAGTGAATCCTCTCACTGGCCCTGCACCTCTGGCCTATACCCCAGTTCTCTATGCATAAATAAATAAATCTTAAAAAAAAAAGAAAAGCAAGTGCACCCTCCTTCAGTGTCTCCCTGATCCATGTGTCATTCCTCCAATGTCTTTTGTCCTGTGTTCCACTGAGTGTTCTGTTGCTTCACCTGGCCACTTAGCCCCACCCATTGTTTTGGTCAGGGACCACCCCCCTTTTATGGAGATTTCCTCTGTTACAGCCTCTTGGCAAAGGGGAAAAGGGGAGGAGGGAAGGAGGAAGGTAAATATCAACTCTCCTCTTTTGTATAGTCTCCGCTTTTGTGAAGTCTGAGAGAGAATTGAGAATCTTGTTTTCTTTGTTTTTTTTCAAAGAAGACCTCCCAAACTATATAAACGCCAGGGCTCACCAAACTCCAATTTATTTCCATTTAGTAGTTGTAACTTGTATTGTTCCTGGGAAATATTCATTAACTTTTAAAAAATACATATATATTTTTAAACAATTTACAAATAATCTTGGTTTAGGAATACTAATTTTTCTTCCACTGTCCAATTATTTCCATAAAGTAAGTCCATTCATAATGAATCTTCGATGCTATTATTTTATCATCACTATGGCATTTTTTACATTTTTTACTGTGGTTTTCCATAGTACATCATTACCTCCAACTATGTTAAGACATAACAGTTTTGAATTTATATTAATGCCCCTAGGAAACTTATCCAATGCCACTGGCATAAATTCAAGATAATTTTCTGTTTGTTTTGTAGGTGATAAAATTACCTACTACATTGCTTTTTAAATTTGCTTATAAAGATATATAATGTTTGCAATTATGAGATTATATTCCAGGAATAACTGCTAGAACTGTTTTTATATGTATTAGCTTCAGATAACACCTGTTTTTTGTTTACTAAGATAATTGAATAATGTAAGTGTCCACATCTAGCATAGTCCAAGCTTATGTGTCATACATAGTACAGCCAAGTAAGGTAAGTCCATGCCTAATTACTACCTATTATATACTAGAGCTCAGGATAAATTCCCCTGAGTTTAAGGAATAGGGTTAAGGAACAGGCATTGTGAGGGTGAACTTAAAAGCAGATGTCTTATATACAGGAAGATTTAATTATTTGTGCAAGGCAAGAGCATATACATGTGTGGTACTTAACACTAATTTTAATAGAGGGCCTTTTGGCCCAAATGCATTCATGCTACAAACGGTAATTTTTAATAGTCACTAATTTATCTAGCTTTAATTTTAATACTTTGTAGGTAGATGATGAAAAGACAGGGTCCACTTGAATAACTGGATAAAAATAACTGCACTTTTATTATCGGCAATAAAATTTTTTTCCTTTTAACAGATTTCATGTGCTCACAACTACCACAGTTCAAAAAAAGACGCCTAGTATATGAAAAAGTCCCTGGTAGAGCTGATGGACAAACTCGTCTAAGATTTTTTTGAAAGAGAGAAAATACAGTGTTAATTGCCATATTCCAATGTTTTTGATGATAATTCAGTAACAGGATTTAGATTTGCTCTTACATTACATAAAAAACAAGTGTTCCTAGAAGTTCTCAGTGTTTTCTACATTAAATATTCATAAGACTTGTTCTGCCCTATGTAAGTTTGCATCTTTGTAAGTAAACTAATTAGCTTAACAGTCATAAGATCCAAATATTTCCCAGATTCATCTAAACATCTCTAGCCCTTCATTTTTAAGAGAAACAGAAAACTTCATTGTGTGTTAACTAAAAGGGTTATTTTGTTGTCTCTTAAGGGCCCCATGTGACACAGCTTTCCTTCAGTTAGTCTTTTCCAAGGATCCTTAGTCAGTCTAATCCTTTGAGTTAAGGAGATCACTAGCCAATTTTACTTAAGAAATGGTACTGGAAGACAAATCTTTATTGGGATCTGGGGAACAGTGGATTAAATTTGCTGTGCTTACAGAGCACCCCCAAGAATGACTGTCACATAATAGGTTGGGTTGGCCCATAGAAGGCAGACCAGAAACTACAAACATTTTGAATCCCCTTCCAGACAAGCCATGACATAGGATTGACACGGGATTGTTGGAAATAGCCTCAGTTTCCCAGTTGTGTGTAAACAATGGAAACCTTGGTACTTTCTCTGAAAGTACTTCCTGTGAGATTTTCTATATTCTCAGGGGAGTTCTGACTCCCAGAGCCACTGCTGGTCCTAAGTTCCTAGGCCCATTGCAAACTCTGGAGGCCTTAGTTATGGATGGGCATGACACACTCCTTGCCTTGTCACTGAGTCTCATCATTTAACAGGGCATCAAAACCAGGTCATCTCACCCTTGTCTCTCATAGTTAGAACCTAGTTATTCTCCCTAAATAATAAGCTCTGTCCTAAAACAAGGGGTCCAATAATATTAACAGAGTAGCCCGAGTTGGAGGGGGTAGAGAACGCAAGCTGTAGAAATCTAAAATGAGGACTAACTTTTCGAAAAGGACACATTTTTCTGAATTTTGCATCTTTTAAATGTTTGAGTTTTACTTCATGTTTTTCACAAAATGTCATGTAACTATTTAAATTAAATTGTTTGTTTAAATTTAATTTTATATAGTCCGTATGTACAACTTCTTTTGATTTCTGGATTTCCTGCCTTGCTTAGAAAGATCATTTTTATCCTAAAGTGATATAAATGTTCTAATTTTTCTTCTAATACTTTTGTGTTGACTTTACCCTATGTGGAATTCCTTTGTATTGCATAAGACAAGTCCAGTTTTATTTTCTTCCAAATGGGTAGCCAATTATTATTAGGTAAGCCATGCTTTCCCACTCAGTAGGAAAAATGGTCAAGTCTGTTTCTGACCCATGTAATCATCCTCTATTTGCCTGTTCTTATACCACAAAGTTTATTTTGCATTTGGTTGTTTTTGTGTTTTGCTATTAAAATAATTTTTTGATTTAGCAGCTTCAAAGTAAGTTATATCCAGTAGGGAAAGTTACATCCCTCTCCTATGTCCTATATACAAACACACATGAGTTTTTACTATTCTTCACTTGATTTTCCATATGAACCTTTAAATATTTTAACCAGTTTTCTTCAGGAAATGAATAAAATAGGAATTTGACTAGACTTACTATATGAATTTTAGTGAAATTATATTTTAATGAAGTTGTAATATATCCAGAAATACACTTTATAGATATCAAATCTCTTATCTCTACTTTTACTAAATTTATTCTAAACATTTTTTTTTAGTTTTGTCATTAATGTAGAAATGAGTTTCCATTTTCAACTAGCTATTGCCATGAGGAAAATGCTTATTTTTCTCTATATGTATATTTTGTATAGTCAGCCTCCCAAATTCTATTACAAGTTCCCTATTTCTTTTGTTAGTTTCATGTTTCCAAGGTGTACAATTATATAGTCCATAAATACAGAAATTACTTCCTCTAAAATATTTATACCACTTTTTTATCTTATTGCATTAGTAACACTTCCAAAGCAATAATGAACTAATGTAGTGATAAAAGTATCCTTGCTTTGTTTCTGATAAGCTGAATGTATTAGCATTTATCACACAGGATAAAATTTTCTATTGGTTATGATAAACTGTCTTTATAATCAATCTTTTTATTCCTGTTTCACTAATTCACTTGATTTATTCAGATTACTGAATTTTATCAAATGATGTGTTGGCATACATGTTTTTTTTTTTTTTTAAAGATACATTTATTTGTGCATACAGAACTGGGGTACAGGCCAGAGACTCAGGGGCAGTGAGAGGCTTCACCATGCACAGAATGGGGAGCAGAACAGGCAGATTGAAGAAGTACACTGCTGAGGGGAGCAGCGGGCGGGCCAGGAGAGGTCTGCCCGGTCATGTGGTCACCTCCGGGGCAGGCGGGAATTGAACTCATGCGGAAGTAGCTTTAGCTTCTTAGTGCAGTGCTTTAACCCGCTGCGCCACCAGGGAGGGCCTACATGTTCTTTTTTTAAACCATTCACATAATAAATTACACTGATAGATTTCCTCATAGTAAACTAGTTTTTTCAGGTTGTATCTTTTTTGATATATTGTACTGAATTGATATGCTTATATTTAGGATTTTTATATCTATTCCTAAGTGAGATAGCTATAGTTTTATTGTATTATCTTATCAAGTGCTTGCCAGAAAGTAGAATGAAAAAATTTTTTTTCTACATGTAGCTATCCACAATGTGTACAATTTGATGAGTTTCGAGATAAGTACACACCTGTGAAACCATCACACAATCTATGCCATAAACCTATCTATCACTTCCAAAAGCTGCCTCTCACCTTCTTATTTATTATTATATTTTATGGCAAGAACACACAACATAAAATCTACCCTCCTAGCAAATTTTAAGTCTATGATACAGCATTGTTATCATAGGCACTATGACATACAGTCTCTAAGACTTACTCATCTTACAAACCAAATTTGGATTTTTTTTTTAAATCCTTTTTTTTTTTAAAGATTTATTTATTTATTCATACAGAACTGGGGTACAGCCCAGAGATGTGGAGGGTGAGAGGATTCACCAGGGACAGAGTATGGAGCAGAACAGGCAGATTGAAGAAGTACACTGCTGAGGGGAGCAGCGGGCGGGTCAGGAGAGGTCTGCCACGCCATGTGGATCTTCTCCGGGGCAGGAGGGGATCGAACTCATGTGGAAGTGGCTTAAGCTTCTTAGTGCTCTGTGCTTTAACCCGCTGTGCCACCAGGGAGGGCCAAATTTGGATTTTTAATGAATGTTTTTTAAAATGCTTGTTGTTAAGATGGGAATGGAACCATGTGTAAGGTCTGATAGAAAGGATTCAAAGGAGAAGATGGAGAGAAAAAATTATAGTATCAGAGAAGGTGAAACAGATCCCAGAGACACATAGAGGGTTTAGAAAAGGGATACCTAAATGATGATCATATGGAAGGAATTCAGACTGTTTAGATATAGAAGTAGTTAGTGGCTAGAAGTTAGTCAAGTTCACATCTAATTCCTATGGTAACCTGATTCTCTATGGTAACCTGATTTATGCTCAAACATACTTTCATTTGTGGGCTTATACACCACTATTTGAAACAGCAGGAGTATTATTATCATTGCTTAAGATATTTGTGCATGTTATACATACATTTAATTATTAAAAAATTCCATCTCCACTCCCAGCAGTCACTCTTAAAAGCAGTTATATAGCCATGTAGCCTTAAAACACAATTAGACACTGAATACCACTATCATAGAAAATGATGAATGAAGCAGAAATTTTTATTTCCAAGCTCTTCAAAGATTATTACAAACACAGAACATTCTTTAAAAATGTTGTAAATTAAGTCAAAGGCACATATCAAAATAAACATGTGACATGAAGAATGCATTTGAATTATAATATTTGCATACTACTTTGCTTTTAATCACTGCAATATGTTGTACGTTATGTTTTTAACATTTTTTATTTTATTATTTTAAAAAGATTTATTTATTTATGTATACCAGAACTGGGGTACAAGCCAGAGGTGCAGAGTAGGGGGGTAGGTGGAGGTGGGAGGATTCACCAGACACAGAGTGGGGAGCAGAACAGGCAGACTGACTGAAATACACTGCTGAGGGGAGCAGCGGGTGAGACAGAAGAGGTCTGCTGTGCCATGTGGGTCAGCTCCCTGGCCTGGGATCAAACTTACACCACAGTGGCTGTGGAGAGCTTCATAGTGCTGCGCTTTAACCCCTTGTGCCACCAGGAGGCGCTTAACATTTTTTAAAGACATCAATATTGTTTTTAAAGTACAAGCATAACTATAAAATAGAGGAATTTAAAAAACAAATATCGGCCCTCCCTGGTGGCGCAGCGGGTTAAAGCACAGCACCGAGAATCTGAAGCCACTTCCGCATGAGTTCGATTCCCGCCTTCCGCCTGCCCCGGAGGAGACCACATGGCGAGCCAGACCTCTCCTGACCCGCCCACTGCTCCCCTCAACAGTGTACCTCGTCGATCTGCCTGTTCTGCTCCCCACTCTGTCTCTGGTGAAGCCTCTCACCGCCCCTGAGCCTCTGGCCTGTACCCCAGTTCTGTATGCACAAATAAATAAATAAATCTTTAAAAAAAAAAAAAAAACAAATATCAAGTCTGTTTCAAACAGGGGGCAATCGTATATAAACGTTAATCTTTTCAAACAAATTTGCTAAGAAATAGCTCCCATATTTAGTGTTTAAAAATAAGAGAATTCTCCTCATTTAGAAAAGTCAACCCATCATTTCATTAATAACATTTATTCTTCCCCCAATTTTACTTCATTTCCTTCACTTAGAAATTGTAAGTTCGTGAGGAAAGAACAAATTCTGTTATAATATAAAAATCCTAGAACAAGTTACAAATATGCAGGGTTTTTTTTAAGTAAACAAAAATGTTTCCTTCCCAAAATGTAAACAACCAGTAAATAAAACATGTAATATTCCAGGTATAGAAACACCAGTAATTTGCTTATGAAAGAGGTGCATTTTGGTATATTTGATGATATTTAAGTATAAAGCACTTTACCAACAAATCAGGCCATTATTATTTTAAAAATCTATAGTTTCACCCAATTTCCTTATTTGAATAGAAACTCATCAATTTCTGTAGAATTTTGCTAGAGGGCCAGCTTGCAGAACAGGTCTGAAACATCAGAGTCATTTGGCTGGAGAAACATGTTTTCTTGAGACTTGGAGGCAGTCACTTTGCAGTTGAAAGTATTCCTCAGGGAACATCTTTCATACTGGGAAAAGAATTTAGAATGTTTTCATTTAGTCAGATTTATATATAAAATTAACTAGTTACCATTTCATAGCTCACTATCGCATTCTTAAAGTAAAAAGTGATAGGTTAATTAAAAAAAAAAAAAAAAAACAACACCCAAACCACACCATGATTGAAGGGCACCCATGAACCCATGAAAGTGCTCTGTAAAAACAAAGATGAAATGTGGACATTTTCCATTACAAGGTATAGCTATACCTGTTAGAAGGATCACTTCCTTTTTAATGTTAAGTTTTCTTTTGTAGGGGTGTGAAAAGGAACCCCTCAGAACATACAATTTCTAATTTGACATCAGAGGTGTTTATAGTTCAAAACCCCATTTTTCAAGTTCTTTTATCTACTCACACTTTTCCCCAGTAGCTACATTTCTTCCTTTATTAAATCTCAGAAGTATGTTTTGAAAGCTTTTGGGGAAAGTAATCACAGCTGGTGGTAGAAACAGTTTCTCTCCTCAGGGGAGTCATTGGTCCTCAGAGCAGCAAGTCAGTTGATAGCACCAAGCTGCAAATCACAGCTTTGGGACTGGGATGGGAGTGGGATTAAGGTCAAGAAATCATATAAACTAACTCAGTTGAGAGCTCAAGTTCATAAAGCAATTAAAATCTCATGAGTTAGTGCCAGAAGGATTGAGACTCTTCTAATTGGATGTTTTCCCCAGGCATGCAGACTGGAGTCACCCCTTAGGGAAAATTGTGCATTTTGCTGTTTCTTATTTTAATTTCCCCCAAGAATAGTAGATAATCTAAATTCAAGAGATTATCTAACCCTTTTGGAAGCCCCAAGATCATGCGGTGGCCCCAAGGCAGCCTGGTGTATCATGGCTTACCTGACTTCAGAGTAAAGCACAGGATCTGGGCTCCCGGAAGGGGTTGCTTCCGGCTGGGACACCCACCAGCAGGGCATCCTTGCAGGCGTTCTGCATGCAGTACTGCTGAAGCTCTGCTGCTGCCTGGGAGACCTGCAACAAAGCAGATTTATCCAGCGACCACCCGATACTCTGAGAAGTGATGCTATAGTCTCACATTTCTGTGACTGCCAAAAGTTTCTTCTTTTTGCTGAACCTGCTTATAACTGAATTCCAAGGAGGAAAGTTTACAGTATCTATGAACTTGGATTGAGGATTTTGAATTTTGATCTAGTTGCTTATTCAACTAGATTCAACTAGGGGAAAGCCACATAGAATGCTAGTTGATGAAGAAACAGCTCATTCTAGTGTCCCCTCTACAGAGTCTCTCTCATAAAGCATATTCCCTTTACAAAGCATGTATTGACATACTCAGGTTTGCCATGTAAGCAAACTGTTCCTGTGTGTATGGCTGGATGGAGCCAGAAGGCTGGTCTTCTCAAAACAAGTGACAAAGTTCTTCCACCATGTTTTGAGGCAGAATAGCTGATTGATTAAAAATACAGCCTTTGGTCAGGCTCTCCCTGGTGTTGCAACATGTTAAAGCACCACATTATGAAGCCCTCCAAAGCCGCTGCATCATGTGTTTGATCCCCAGCCCCGGAGCTGACCCACATGGCGTGCAGACCTCTCCTGACCCACCCACTGCTCCCCTCAGCAGTGTATTTCAGTTCATCTGCCTGTTCTGCTCCCCACTCTGTCTCTGGTGAATTCTCTCACCACACCTCTGGCCTGTACCCCAGTTCTGTAAGCATAAATAAATAAATCTTAAAATATATCCATATATAGATTGATCTATCATCTATACACACACACACACACACACACACACACAGCCTTTGGAACCAGACTACCTGGACTCGAATTCATTTCTGTTACTACCTGAATGACCTCGGGCAAGTTACTTGTTTTCTTATTTGTGCATTGTAGTTAGTACCTTCCTCATTGGCTTGATGTGATGACTGCGTTCACACTTACAATAGTGTTCATAGAGTAAGCAATAAAGTGGTGGTGGACTGCAAACTTAATCAAATACATTGCAGCTCCTCGATGCAGGAAGCAGAAACCCACCCCTTGTATCTAGGCTGGCTTTGTAACTTGCATTAACCAGGAGAATATGGCAGAAGTAACAGGAAAATTCCAAGACTAGGGCTCAAGACCCTATGCAACTACTTCGCTACATACTGCTGGCACCTGAGAACCACCATCTAATGAGCCCAACCTAGCTCACTGTGAATGAGGCCATCCCTGACCATCCCGTAGTAGAGCTTAGTCAACAGCACAGGAGACCAGCAGACATCAGCAGGACTAACAGCAAATCCCACTCAAACTGCTGTCCCAAGAATTGTGAGTTACTAAATGTTCCAAATCACTAAACTTTGGAGTGATCAGGCAGCAAAGAAAGATACAATGTCCTTTCTTTATCCTCCATTTGATGCTATTTGTACTTAGGGGCTTTCCTTGCTTCCTGTTTTTCTTGCAAGGTATTTGTATAAAAACTCACCCATATCATTCAAAATAGTTGTATTTGTATAAAAGGTATTTGTATAAAAACTCACCCATATCATTCAAAAATAGTTCCAATTGCTTTTCAGTTATAACAACTAGTTTGTGTTAGGCTTACAAACTTCCAGATAACTGGGAAGTTAATGCCATCTGTTTCAGTTATGTAGTATCTTGAAACATTTTAGGAATTTTGGTTTCATTAAAGTAGTAACAGTTTGCTATAGAATATAAAAACATAAGTCTGAAAAGTTTGACACTGTCATTTTAATTACAGCCATAAGTAATGGTCGTACATCACAATTATTCACAAGAAATTTGGAGCCCATAATGTTTTTGCCTATCTCACTATCAGAGGGAATAGCTAAACTGATTGGAAGTAGACTGTTTCCCAGGGCCCTGGAGAAACTGTACTAACTAGCCCCCAGACTAAAGAACATCATTAGAATTTAACTTGGGGGGATATGCAGAGAAATGGAGTAAAAGTGGTCAGCACTTCTCTAGCACTTTCAAGGGAGAAACTGGTTGGGGGAATACAAAATCAAATACTCTAAAGCTGGAGATGGGATAATCCCTAAATTATATGACTGTCCTTGGTTTGTATTCATTTGCTCACCTAGCAACTTCTGCAAGGCTTCTCCAGAGACAAGAAGGGGTCCTTAAAGGGTACCAAGAATTTCAAACTAACGGAAGGGCTCCCCTCCTTTATATGCTAGAAAGCTGGTGTCCTAGCTTATTGGCCAGTTAGCAAATCTGTCAAAGAGAAGACATCTCTGGTGTACTGCAAATTTTCATCGTAGAGTGCTGAAAGGAGAGACCCTAGAATGTAGACTTCCTACTGTGCTTTCTGAGAGAAGCCCTGCCAAACACCCCTAACCAAAATATCTTCAGGCCACTGCCCACTAAACTTAGGTTATCTTAACTGTTCACTTGAATCCTCTGGGGCTCAGTTCCCTAATGCCCACAACTACCTTTTTCAATGCAGAAAGACTATCTTCCCCTAGCTTCATCATAGGAAGCAGCAGAAGGCTGGTTCGGTTTTCCTTTCCACCTCAGCTTCCAACATCATCTTGAACATTTTCAACAATGCTCCTTTCAGTTCCCTGACCTCTCTTCAAACAACCCAAAGTTAACAACCAAAGCTAACAACCATAACTGCTCCACACCTGACAATTTACACTCCTAATGCCCTATGGCCGGATTGTAATTCTCCTCCCATTCCAGGATATTGCTTCCTTCATTCACACCACACCTGCTCTTTGATCTCAGGGATAACTCCTCCTGCCCTTTGGTCTGGTCCATTACCAGAAGGCTTTGTCCCTTTCAGCTGGTTCTCTAACCCTTAAGTGTACCCCCACTTTCACTTCTGGCATGACTCCCCTGCTCCCCTCCTTTGATCAGCTATCATTCATCTGATTCACCTTGTCTGATAGTTGGGAGTCCTGGGTGGTCAAATGCTGGACAATCTTTTTTAAAAAAATTACAAGTTGGGCAATCTCCTAATTGTGTTTTCAGAATCATAAAGTATCTATAGCTACGACTGCCAGAGCTCCATTCCCTTCCCAAAGCACCCCACCATCCAATCATATGACTCATTGTTAGTTCCCGTTCCTCTGCCCTACAAGAAACTTGATATCCTATTCACAGAAACTCATCATACAAGCCCTTCAGCCTGTATCTAGAAACCTATATCCCTCTTTGAACTGTAGTATTCTTCCTGTCTCAGAAGCACCCCTCCAATCACATACACCCCATAAACCTTGTCTCTTCTACCTCCGATTCTCCCCTCAACCAAAAATAGTTTGTTCCTTCCCCTTTACTTCAGCATGACTTCTCGTTTCCTAAATTTTCAAAGTATCCTCTTTAAAGCCACATTTCTTTACTTTTGCGCACCCTTGCAATCTATAGATTCTGCTTCTACTGCATTTTGAAACTTCTTCTGCATTCCACAAATCTGTATTTCATTACTTTGTTTTATTATCATCATATATCATTTGAAATTATTTTACTTATCTGTTCAATTCTGATTCCCAATTCACTAAACATTTCTCTCACCTCATCTGGGTGTTCTACAATTCAACATAATTTGGATGCTTTCTATCCAAAGATGACCTGAAGACAGCCTCCCCCCACTTCAGACACCAATCCAAATCTAGGTTGTCACCTTGCTTCTAACCAGTGGCATAGAGACCTAAGGTTGTAATGACCTTCTCAGCGGTTCTATTTGCTAGAGGTGCACAAGGACTCCAGAAAACATTTTACTTACTCCATCACCAGTTTATTATAAAGCAGTGTAACTCAGGAACAGTGAGATGGAAGAAATGCACAGGGTTTCCATGGCCCATTGGGGAGCACCCCACTCTCCACCACTTCACCAACCTGTAAGTTCTTTGAACCCAACCCTTTGGGTTTCTATGGAGGCTTCATTACATAGGTAAAATGACTAAGTCATTGGCCAGTTGCAGGGGATTCAACCTCTAGCCCCACTCTGTGGTGGGTGAGAGGGATTGAAAGTTCAAATGCTTTAATCACTTGGTTCTTCCAACTAGCCCACTGCAAAAGTTGCCTCATTTACATAACAGGATTCCTGTATCATCTCATTATTTAAGCAATTCCGTGGGTGTCAAAAACAAAGCATACACATATATATTCACATATATATTCATACTTGTTTAATGCATTTGTGGTTGTCTTTCCCTCTAGAATCACCTTATTCCCAGTACCCAGGATAGTGCTAGATACTGTGGAACGGTACTTCTGAGGTAGACGGAGCTCCGCAGCAGTGTTCCGTCACAAACACTCAAAACTAATGCTATGCTGGTTGCTAATCACAATTATGCTCGTCAGCAGCTGCGGAAACACAGGATTGTTGACTAATCTCCAGATTTTCCTAACCCCCTCCTTCCTTGTTTCAGCAGCCCCGCTTTCTCTCGGTTCTCTTCTCTCAGCCCTCTCCTTTGGCAGGTCCCCGAGTGCCATGTTCTGGCCTCTTCCCTCATAGGCTTCCTTCGCTCCCCTACGTTCTAATTACCATTTGCTTCTCTGCGCTTCAGTCCAAATAGGTAAGCACTTGTGGATGTCTCTCCGAGGTCCACGTTTCCAAACTAAGCTCGTCCTCCCCTCATACCCACGCTCCTTGCTCCTTCCTCCCTACCCGGGCGAAAGGCAGCGCCCCGCATCCCGTCACCCTCCAGAAAGGCGAGCATCTCCGTCCTCCCTCCCGCACGCATCCCATCAACCCACCACCCAGGCCCGCCCGGGCAGGCCCTCGCATCCCCGGCTCCATCCTCCCCTCCGCACAGCCGCACGTCGCCGCAGTCCTGATCCTTCCCGTCGGTCCTGCTCCCCCTGTCCACCTGGTACAACCGACGCGCTTTCCTCGCTGGGCCCACGTCATTTCGGGGCCCTTGGCCCCGACCCCCTCGCGGGGACAGACCCTGGCCGGGGCCCACCGGGTCCGGCCTCCCCGCGCGCGGGCTCGCAGCCCGATCTCTCCCCGCGCGGGAGTCCCCGC